AGGGCTGTCCCACTGACCCTTGCCCTCCCCAGGGGAGAAGACTGAAGGGCTGATGGGAGTGTCTGAGCTGATCGTGTCCACGGCCGTGCTTGGAATCCTCTTTTCTCTGCTGGGGGCCCAGCCGCTGCTTGTGGTTGGCTTCTCAGGGCCACTGCTGGTCTTCGAAGAAGCCTTCTTCAAGGTGACAGCCCTCCCTGTTGCTCCCCGGGGACCACCTGCTCCTCCCCTGGCCCCTCAGCCCAGGTGACAGGTCCCTGCTGGGTCCCCCACCTCCTCCGTGGAGTTACCTCCCACCTGACCCGCTCCCTACCTCATGGGGCCCTGATGTTCGGGGCAGACTGCTGTGGGTAACCTCTCCTCCCTCCTGGCCACCAGTTCTGCCAGTCCCATGACCTGGAGTACCTCACTGGCCGGGTGTGGGTTGGCCTCTGGCTGGTGGTCTTTGTTCTTGCCCTGGTGGCCGCTGAGGGCAGCTTCCTGGTCCGCTACATCTCGCCTTTCACCCAGGAGATCTTTGCTTTCCTCATTTCCTTCATTTTCATCTATGAGACCTTCTACAAGCTCTACAAGGTAGAGGCCCAGAGAGGGGTTGGGGGCAGGGCAGGTGGAGATGTGGGTGGGCAGCATCCTGGCACCAGGAGCATGGGAGGCGGTGGTCTGGAGATTGGGGGCAGAGGGCTCAAAGAGGGGCTCTGTTGTGTGTGGGCGTGGGGGGTCGGGGACACCCTGGGGTAGGTCTACACTGAAGGGGAAGGAATCAGACCCATAGGGTATTGGTCAGAACGCCAGGATTCACCTGCACAGGTGTGTGAAGTGGTCACTGACGCTAAGGGCTGGGTGTCCTTGGGTCACCTTTGCAGAGTGCGTGTGTGCATGTGTGTGCGCGCGCGCGCGTGTGTGTGTGTGTGTGTGTGTGTGTGTGTGTGTGTGAGGTAGCTGGATGTTGTGTGTTACTGTTGCCTGGTCAGGTAGGGGAGGGAGCAGCCCTCTCCCTTGCAGCTGATGAAATCAGGGTCACCTGCCCAGGTGAGCACTAGGGTAGCCTTATAACCCACATAGGTGTTCACGGAGCACCCACTGCTGCCATTCTACCCCCCTGAGGGGGCCCTGGAGCCAAGGCTGGACCTGAACGGGAGTGTTCTGCCTGCCACCGAGGGGCCACCAGGCCCGAGGAACCAGCCCAACACGGCCCTCCTGTCCCTCATCCTCATGCTTGGGACCTTCCTCATCGCTTTCTTCCTGCGCAAGTTCAGGAACAGCCGCTTCCTGGGGGGCAAGGTACATGGCTTCCAGGTGGAGCCCCTGGGGGACTTTCTGTTCCTGCTGTCACTGCCAGGCTCCACTCCAGAGCGGGGCTGCCCCCTTCTCCTCATTGGCCCCGGGATCTAAGCCACGTCTATGTGGCCCCAGCCCATCAGAGCCTCAGAGAAGTCTACTCAGAAGCGGAATGCCATCTGGGCTGTCTGGCGCTCATGTGGTTTAAAGGGACAGGTTGGGGAACTTCCTGAACCAGCTCAGACCCACGAGAGGTCCGGGGTAATAAGCCCTTGTGAGTCTCCAGCCCTCACCACCACCTCTGCTCCCTTCTCCTAAGGCTCGCCGCATCATCGGGGATTTTGGCATCCCCATCTCCATCCTGGTGATGGTCCTGGTGGATTACTCCATTACAGACACCTACACACAGGTGAGTGCGCCCGGCCTCTCTGGCAGCTGGTCCTCACCCCTGGCCTGAGCAGCAGTTAGATTCAGGCTGGAACCCAGCTTTCCTGGTGGAAAGGCAGTGTGACCTGCTGGGGTCAGGCTAAATGATGAGCTGGCGGTTCAGAGCAGCCATGTGGTCCCACTGAGGAGGCCACCCAGCACCCTCAGGCTGTGTGCGATTCTAGGTAAGACCCGGGGGAGCAGGTATGGGGCTGGAGCAGAATGACAGATGCCCCCCCAGCAGGTTTCCTGGCAGCTCTGGGGACCTGGAAGAAGATAAGTCATGTCTCTGCCCTATACGGGACCCTTGTAGGGACAGCAACTTCGGAGGATGCAAAACTAACTTCCTTCAAGCCTGTTCACACCCCAATTCCCTGGAGCCCTGGTACTGGGGACACGCGGCTTTGCGGGAGCAGCTGCTGCATGGGTTCTTAGCATGGGGGGGGGGGGCAGTGTCCCTGAACCCTGCCTTCCTCCTGGCCTCGCAGAAGCTGACAGTGCCCACAGGGCTCTCGGTGACCTCCCCCCATAAGCGCACGTGGTTCATCCCGCCTATGGGCAGTGCCCGTCCTTTCCCGCCTTGGATGATGGTGGCAGCTGCCGTCCCCGCCTTGCTGGTCCTCATCCTGATCTTCATGGAGACACAGATCACTGCGTGAGAGGGCGGGGGGTGGGGATGGGGGGGTGGGGGGGTGGGGGGGTGGGGGGTGGGGCCCGGGCGCATGAGTGCGGGCGGTGGGATTGGCAGCAAGGGGACAGTATTTTGCCTGTGGTGCTTGGCCGGGCCATCTGTCTGGTGCCGCCGGCGTTTGCAGGGTGGCATTTGACAGTTCCCAGAACGCTCTGGCAGTTATGTTCTCTCACCCAGCGACTCTCACATGATCTCATTTTGGTTAAGTCGCAATAACGAGGTGAGATCTGGCATCTGGCTTTTATGGTATTTTAAACATCTACAGTGTAAGGAATTTGGCTCAGATTTGCTTAAATGTGAGAACTTTAATTGGGGAACTTGAAAGAGGAAGTCGGCAGATCCTGGGAGAGCTCTTCTCTGCTCCCCTGACTACCCTGCCCTGCTAGTGCGCGCCTAGCCCGGCTGCTGGCCCACACACCCCCACTCCACTCTCCGTAGGCTCATTGTCAGCCAGAAGGCACGGAGGCTGCTCAAAGGCTCCGGCTTCCACCTGGACCTGCTTCTGATCGGCTCCCTGGGGGGCCTCTGTGGGCTGTTTGGGTTGCCCTGGCTCACGGCTGCCACCGTCCGCTCGGTCACCCATGTTAACGCGCTGACTGTCATGCGCACCGCCATCGCGCCTGGAGACAAGCCCCAGATCCAGGAGGTGCGGGAGCAGCGGGTCACTGGCGTGCTCATCTCCAGCCTTGTGGGTGAGAGTGCCCACCTTGTAAGGCCGGGCCCCATTCCCCAGACTTGCCTTCTTGGATCCCAAGGTCTTAACTCAGCTCTCTTCTCCGGGCTGGGGCCAGGTCCCTTATGACTCTCCAAAGGAGGCCTGTCCAGCCCCTGCCCTGCCTACCAGTCCTGCTTCCTGACCCCCATGAGCCCCTTTTCCTCATGGCCTTTCCCGGTTCTCTTTCCTGCTCCATCTTCTCTTGTTCGTGGTGATGAGGCCCAGCTGGTCAGTTAGATGGTCCGTGCCCCCTCCCCACCAGGTCCGTCTGTCCTCGCAGCGCTGTCTGCGGGGTCAGGTAGGTCTGTGTCTCCTCTTCCAGGCCTGTCCATCGTCATGGGGGCTGTGCTGCGCCAGATCCCGCTGGCTGTGCTCTTTGGGATTTTCCTGTACATGGGGGTCACGTCACTGTCTGGCATCCAGCTGTCCCAGCGCCTGTTGCTCATCTTCATGCCAGCAAAACACCATCCCGAGCAGCCCTATGTGACCAAGGTACTGCCAGGAAGCATGGAGGGGGGGAGCTGGGTGATGGTGAGGATGTCCGGGGGATCCCCTATGGACAGGATAGGGTGACTGGGAAGATATATTGGGACCTGAGGAGCCAGCTCCCCGGAGGTGTGGGCGGGAGTGTGATGAGACCTGACACCGGTTCCCAGGTGAAGACGTGGCGGATGCACCTGTTCACCTGCATCCAGCTGGGCTGCATCGCACTGCTCTGGGTGGTCAAGTCCACGGCAGCCTCGCTCGCCTTTCCCTTCCTGCTGCTGCTCACGGTGCCTCTGAGGCGTTGCCTTCTGCCCCGGATTTTCCAGGAGAGGGAGCTGCAGGCGGTAAGAGACTGTGCTCGGAGGCAGGGGCAGTGTGGATGGGGCCTGGGTTCCAATCTCTGCCGCACCCTCTGACAGCTGTGTAACTGGCACAGGTAGCCTAACCTGAACTCTCACTTTCATCTATTATATAAGAGCTAATAGAAGATCCTACCTTATACGATTGCTGTGAGGCTTAAACACCAATCCAGGTGAAGTTCTGAGTATGATGGTTTGGTGTGATGTAAGCACCAGGCTGCTGCAGACAGCTGTGCAGGATGTACATTGAACAGAAGCGCGTAGCTGAGGGGCAGTTGGGGGTGGGGCAGTGCTGAAATCCATCTGAGCTCTATTTTTGTTTTTTAACAGTAAATGACATTTTAAAAAAAATATATATTTTATTGATTTTTTTTTTTTTTTTTTTTTTTTTTTTTTTTTTTTTTACAGAGAGGAAGGGAGAGGGATAGAGAGCTAGAAACATTGATGAGAGAGAAACATTGACCAGCTGCCTCCTGCATACCCCCTACCGGGGATGTGCTCGCAGCCAATGTACATGCCCTTGACCGGAATCAAACCTGGACCTTTCAGTCCACAGACCGATGCTCTACCACTGAGCCAAACTGGTTTCAGCTGAGCTCTATTTTTGTCATCGAGAGGAAGGGGTATCTTTTTGTAAATCATCCACCCAAACCTGGTCTACAGAGGTAAACCGCAAGAGCTAGCTAGGAGTGGCCCCAAGAAAGTGCTTCACCTATGGTAGCTGTTATCTGGGAGCAGCGAGGGCTGCTGGCTGGGGAGGAGCTGGGGAACTGGGGGAGGGAGCGGGGGAGGCGCCACTTGGCTTCCTTGCCTCTTCTGACCTTCTCCTCCTTCTGCAGCTGGACTCAGAAGATGCTGAACCAAACTTCGACGAGGATGGCCAGGATGAGTACAACGAGCTGCATATGCCTGTGTGATCCTCTGACACGGTGACCATGAGAGACCCCGACGTCTTAGAGACTGATCCCTGGGCCCCTGCCAGAGCCCAGCTCCAGGGCAGGCGGGCTCCTCCTGACCCAGAGACGTTCCTGGAACCACTACTGATGCCATGGCCAGAGGGGCCCTGACTGTGCCCGAGGCTCTGACCTTATCTCACCAGGCCCTTTCACAGACCAGCACAGGCTTTACCGGCACAGGCTTTGAGCTCATTATAACCACACCCCTTGTCTTGTGTCTGCTTCACTTTCTTGGTTCCACGTCTGGTTTCTCAGGTCAGAGTTATCCATCTGGAATTGGAAGAATTGGGAGAATTCTATATTCAGGGTCATCAAAACCTGAGAGGAGGTTTGAGGCAAGGACAGAATTCTTGGTTGAAAGGGAGAGAATCAGGACCACAAAAGGTCAGAGCTGGGCTTTAGCATCACCCGCTTGAGGCCCCTCAGGTGCAGTCCAGGAGGAGCCGGGAGGCTCAAGGTCTGGCTCAAGGTCACATGCTTAAATCCTGCCCCTGATTGGGAAGGGTGAGTGGGGGAGGGGAGGAGGCAGTGGTTGCTTTGCTTTAGCCGCTAGGGAAATCAGAGCTTGTCCAAGGGCTGTGGAGCTACAGAAGGGAATGTAAAAAAGTCTATCTTCTTTTCTTGATTCCTGGCATTCAGAGGAGCAGGGACAGTAGCCCAGTTCCTCAGACGCCAGGGTGGTGCTAGATTTGGGGTTCATGGACCATTTTAGATCCTCTCGGCTTAAAAGAGAGGCAGTTCTGGGATTCCTGAGGCTACTCCTGTGTCACAGCCTGTTAAACTAGAAATAACCTGGGTGCCTTGAGGAGGGTTCGAACTGGGTGTCCTTACGTCACAGTTGCTTGGCAACCGGCTGCCTGTGGCAGCTAGTTGTCTCTGTGTGGCCCTCTGGTGGCCGCTCTCTCACACTGCAGGCTCTGCCCCATCTGGTAGGAGATGCCCAGCCTCCTGAAGGACCCCCAGTGGTCAAAGAACCCATTCAAGCACATTCTCCTTCTGAGAGAGGGAAGGCAGAGAGGTTCCCTGGGGTCCCGGCCTTAGGAGGCTGTGAGCATCCAGAGCCAGGATCCCTCATCCCCATTAGCCGCTTCTGCTGGAGCCAGCCTTGCTTCTTCCTTAACCTTTTACCAGTTTCCTCCCAAGTATTCAGGCAAAAAGCTAGAGCTAGGTAGCTGGTCCCGAGAGAAGGGACAGACTGCTGTGAGGCTGTTTGTTGTGTTCCTAAGGAAGACTGCCCCTTTCCAGCTGTCTGGGATTGTCACTCAGGTTTAAGCATTTCATCCAGTCCCTTTGGCTCCTTTCGTCTCTGGCGCCACCATGTCTCCTAACAGCATCTGGCCTCTGACGAACTCTCCTTGCCCGAGGGCCTTTTCTCTGAGGTTGGCCAAGGCAAGGTGGAGTTTCAGAGGGACTTTGCTAGCAAAAACCTCGAACATAGATGTGTACAGAGCAGATCCCAAACACAGATACCAAGGGCCAGGCAGAGGAGCACGGCTGAGAGGTTTGGCATGCAGGACTACATTCCTTTCTGGAACTCTACATCAGGTCACCTGGCTCCCCTGTGGGTCTCAGCGGGTGCGGGCTGGCCTGTTCGACTCTCTGAGTGGGGTTAAGGCCAATGGGGGCGGGGTGGCTGTAGGCAACAGGAAGGAACCATTTGTCCCCAGCCTCTGAGAGAAAAGGCAACCTGAACCAGGCAGCTCTTCATTGGACCCTGGTTGTGTTTGGCAAATAGCTGAGAACTGTGGATGTTCCTCAATTGGAAAATGAGAAATAAGGTGGAAGCTTTTGAAATAGACTGAACTCTGGTTCCAGGTGGTGTATCAGGGTGGCCTCTAGTATAACTAGGCCCTGAGGCCTCAGAAAAAGAGGTGAAAATTTTTCAGTGAAGGATAGAACCAGACATAACCTCTGGCCGGTGAACATGCCACCCAAATGAGAAGTACATGAATAAGGTCCAAGAGCCAGGAGCTTTGAAGACCATGCAATTCCCACCTGTCCTTACCTCTAGCCCCTGAGGGCAAGCAGCTGCAGTTTGGTTAAGTATCTGAGGCCAGAGCTGGCCCAAACACATGCTGAGCTGGGCCTGTTCAGAGAGGACACTTCCGCACTCGGGGTAGGGACCTGTGGAGGCCCTGAGAGGTCTTAAGGAGCCATAGTAACCTAGAAGCTTACTGAGGGATGGGAGAGGAGAGAGTCAGTGGGGCCAGGTTGGGCATCAAAGAGAGAAAGACAAGAGATAATGGGACCATGGCAAACCCCTAGCTAGGCAACCGGGGTGGGGGTAGGGAGGCCAGGCAATTAGAAATCTTTTCATTTGGGGACATTAGGGATTTATCCTAAAGCCATTGTAGCCCCTAACTTACTCTTCACTTACTTTCCAACCTTATCCTCCTGGATAAGCTTGAGAGAGGCCTACTTCTTCCAGGTGTAGAGGGGACTCAACAGAGAGAAGCCCCATCTGGTCCTGGTGGACGAAGGGGTGAGTTAGAGGCCATGGTATTTTTGAGTGACAGGTCCCACACCATCTCCTTTAGACTGAAAGCTGCTTACCAGTGGGCATGTGCAAGGTGGCCCAGCACCCTTCCAGCAAAGGAGGATGGGAGTCTCATTGCTATCTTGCCCCTTGCGGCTCTCTGAGTGGGGTTAAGGCCACATCTTGGACAGCTGCTGATAAAGTTTTCATTATCCTTGCACAGGTTCAAGCGCACTTTAAGCCCAAAGAAGTGCTAACTCATTCTTTTACTTTGAGCAAAGAGGGCAGCTGACACTTCCTCGTTCCACGCTGAGGAGTCAGCTCACTTGAGACGCCTGATGCCCTCATGAAAGCTTCCGGCTGTCAGAACTCAAACGCCATCTGCCTGGATTGCCCCGGGCCCCTCCTTCAGGGCTCAGAACCTGGCAATAATGTGTCCCCTTTGGCAGCCTGTGTGACATCTCTTCTTGTATTGTGTCAGGTGACTCCAATAATGATCATGCCTGTTGACACCTAGAGCTCTCAGAGGGAATTCTGAGCAGCATGAGAAGGGCAAAACAGAACTCAAGGGCACTTGCACACAACGCTGCCCATATAGCTGGTGCTTAAGCCATTCTGAAAACAATAAGACACGTTCTGGGCAAGCACCGAACGGGTTTGAATCCAATGTGGCAAGTAGGAAACCCAAAGTGAGAAGTATGGTTTCCAGATAAATACATTATATAATTGAGAGGGAACCTAACTGCTCTCATGACTCACCACTGTACAAATGCTAATATTTACAGGGTTTCTGTTCCAGAGGGAAGATTTAATATTTGAGATCTCTGCCGGGATTACTTTTACTTTACTTGGAACTGTTTTTTTTTTTTTTAATTGAACAGTTTTATATCAAATGCTGAGTTAACACACAGCTGTTGGGATATTCTCTGGGTGGTGGGTGAGTCCCACTTGGATCTGGGAGCCGAAGGAGGAGCAGAGAGCACCTGGGACAGGGCTTCCAGGACCATGGGAGGTAAAGGGCAGAGAGGAGGTGGGGTAGGGACTGGGAGCAGCTGGGATGATGTGGGTGGGTGGGAGGGAGCACTGAGGAGACACAAGACAAAACTTTGATTAGAGGATCCCTCAGTATGCTTGCCTCGGCACCTCTCTCACCATGCTCCTGTGACTTGTATTTGTCTGCCTCCCTTCTAGGCCATAAGATGGGCAGAGACCTGGCCTGAGCTTTTTTTGTATCCCTAAAAAAAGCCCTGGCTATAGGGGTGTGTGGAGGGCAGAGGGGTGAGCAGGTGGCAGAGAAGAAAGGGCCAGTAGGTCAAGGACGCTTCCCCATTTAGGATCTAGTGAAAGCCAAGGGTGACACCAGTAGAACTTATAAAGGATTCTGGAAATGTTTTGGTTATCATGTTTGGTAGTTTCAATTACAGCTGTTACTTTGTGTCTGTGAGTAGTGATACCCTCAAAACCCAAAGAGGCATTGTGTGTTTCTTTCTGAGCCAGCTGGAGAGACCCTGCATACGAGGCTGATGGGTAGACAGTGTCAGGTGGGAAAGACAAAGTGCATCAGAGGCTGCAGGAGCCCAGGACAGCGGTCGGCAAACTGCGCTCGTGAGCCACATGTGGCTCTTTGGTCCCTTGAGTGTGGCTCTTCCACAAAATACCATGCAAGGGCATGCACGTACTGCGTGATTGAAACTTCCACAAAGTACCCATGCGCAGAAGTCGGTTTTCGGCTCTCAAAAGAAATTTCGATCATTGTACTGTTGATATTTGGCTCTGTTGACTAATGAGTTTGTCGACCACTGGCCCAGGAGCTAAGGTGGGGAGCTTGAGAGGTGGCGCTGGGACTGATGCCAGCAGGAAGCCTTCTCACTATATCCTCATGGTGGGAGAGACTTGGGAGATCTCTGGGATCATCTTAGCTGTCCATCCCTAGTCCATCAGTGGTTGTTCACAATGCTAATGATGGCCCTAGCCCATTTACTCAGCTGTTAGATCCTCGGCCCCAGGTCAGGGCTCCTGTGGAAGACAACCAATTGATATGTCTCTCTCACATCAATGTTTCTCTCCCCTCCTCCCTTCTCTAAAAATCAATGAAAAAATATCCTCAGGTGAGCATTTTTAAAAAAAAACGCTAAGGATGGGGACCAGAGCATCTTCTTTATTTTGACTTTTGGAGTGCCTTTTGTGTATAGGGCTTTTTTTGTAAGAACTTTCCCCAAGGACAGGGCTCATGAGGCCTCCCTTCCCCATTTTCTCTCCCCCAGCTCAGCTTTCTTGGGTCCACATTTCCACGATAGCTGAAAGCTATTTTTTAAATTATTTTTTAAATCTATTGTTGAGATCATTACAGATGTCCCTCTTTTTTCCCCCCTTTTTTTCCCATAGCCCTCCTCCACCCAGTTCTCGCCCCACCCCAGGTCTTCATCATCCTATTGTCTGTATCCCTGGGTAATGCATATCCTATCTAATAAAAGAGTAATATGCAAATTGACCATCATTCCAAGATACAAGATGGCCACCCCAATGTGGTCAAAGATGGTTGCCCCCATATGGACACAAGATGACTGGTAGGGGAGGGAAGTTGTGAGCAGTTGGGTGGGGGGGACCCAGGCCTGGAAGTTGGGGATGACCAGGCTGGCAGGGGAGGGTAGTTGTGGGGGGGTCCAGGCCTGCAGTGGATGACAGTTGGGAGGACTCAGGACTGCACGGAGGACAGTTGCGGGGGGGACCCAGGCCTGCAAGGGAGGGCAGTGGGGGGGACCAGGCCAGTAGGAGAAGGCAGTGGTGGGGGGAACCAGGCCAGCAGGGGAGGGCAGTTAGGGTAAACAACTGATATTCTATAAAGTAGTATAAAATGCATTTTGACTTAATGATTTTTAACTTACAATGGGTTTATAGGGAATTAACCCCACTGTAAGTTAAGGAGCATCTATATTTTTC